TCTACACATGTATCCCCCATGAAAAGGGCCCAAAAGCCATCCGTTTCTTCCTCTTCCGCAGGTCCAACCAGTGCCCCTCCAAAGATACTCTCATCCACTTGGTGGAACTAATTCTCACACTCAACAATTTTTCCTTTGATTCCCCCGACTTCCTACAAATTAAAGGGGTGGCTTTGGGCACTCACATAGGTCCAAGCTATACCTGCCTCTTCATAGGATATGTGGAACAGTTCCTGTTCTGCAGGTACACTGGCACCATCCCTCACCTCTTCCTCCACTACCTTGATAACTGCATCAGTGCTGCTTGGTAATCCCACGAGGAGCTTGAACAGTTCGTCAACTTCACCAACATCTTTTACCCTGATCTGAAATTCACCTGGACCATCTCTGATACCTCCCTCCCCCTCCTGAACCTCTCTACCTCCATCTCCAGCAACTGACTTAGCACCGACATCCATTTCAAGCTCACTGACACCCACAGCTACCTCGACCACACCTCCTCTCACCCACCCTCTTGCAAAAATGTGATCTCATACTCCCAATTCCTCCACCTCTGCCATATCTGCTCCTGGGATGAAGTGTTCCACTCCTGGACATCCCAGATATCCTCATACTTCAAGGACCATAATATCCCCTCTCCTGCGATTCATTATGCCCCCAACCGTATCTCCTGCATTTCCCGCACTTCTGCCCACAAACCCCCTCCCCCCCAAAACAAGGATACAGCCCCCCGGTTCTCACATACCACCCACCGATCTCCAAATCCAACACATCATCATCTTCCATTTTCGCCACTTTCAATCTGACCGCACCACCAAAAATATATTTCCGTCCCACCCGTACCTGCTTTCCGTAGGGACCGCTCACTCCGCGACTCCCTTGTCGGCTCCACACTCCCCACCAACCTTCCCACCCACCCACCCGGCACCTTTCCCTGCAGTCGCAGGAAATGCTACACCTGCTCCTAAACCTCCCCCCTCTCACCTCCATCCAAGACTGCAAACAATCATTCCATATCCAGCACAGATTCACCTCTATGTCTTCTAACCTGATCCATTGCATCTGTCACTCCCAATGTGGTCTCCCCTATATCGGGGAGACCAAGCACAAACTTGGGGACCAATCACGGAGCATCTGCGCTCGGTATGGTCCGATCAACACCACCTTCCGGTTGCCAGCCATTTCAACTGCCCCTCCCACTCCCTTAGCAACATGCCCATTTGGGCTTCCTCCACTGTCATAACAAGGCCACACACAAACTGGAGGAGCAACACCTTATATTCCGCCTCAGGAGTTTACAGTCCAGTGGCCCTGACATAGACTTCACCATCTTCAAAATCTCCCCATCGTCAGCCTCATTCCATGTCCAGCCCTCCCTCTCATGCCCACCTCCTTGACCTGATATAACCTGTCCATCTTCTTTCTCATCTATCTGCTCCACCCTTCCCACTAATCAATCTCTACTACCCCCTACCGGCATCTACCTACCTTCCGCCAGCCCCAAACCCGTCCCTCTATTTATTTCTGAGCTCCCTTCCCCCTCTCCAGTTCTGATGAAGGATCCAGACCCCAAACATCGACTTTCCTGCTCCTCAGATGCTGTTTGACCTGCTGTGCTCCTCCAGCTCCACATTTTATTGATTCTAAATTCCAGTTGAAGTCGAGTTTCTCTTTAATTTAACAGTCAAATAGAAATTACTCTAACAGAAGTTAAGCTATTCCAACCTTAAAACAGAGGTATACAAGTTCTCTTGAGAACACCTGCAACCAATGAGAGAGCCAGCTTAAATTGCTTTTCAGAAGACAAACCAGTTATTTCTAAAAGGAGCCTAAAAAGAGGCATGAAGGTCTAAATTCAAGTCCAACCTGACCCAGAGCATGTTGATTGGAAATTATTAAAAAGAGGCCTTCCTCAGCGCTGTTCTGGTCTACAACAGAAATGCTGCTTTAGATGCACAAAATGTAAAATGGAAGTCCAGTGGGTGGATGAAAGAGTTCAGTGAAGAGGAGAAAGAAGTGTTCCTTTCTTCTTTTTTCAACATACAGTAATTAGCTCTTACCTTGGAATGGGGAAAAAGGTGACTGGTGAGCATCTGGTAAGTTGTTCTACTTACATATCAGCATGAGCAAGTAGAATATAGGTAGGGTTTAAGAGAAATATGGGCTAAAAGCTAGCAAATGGGACTAGATCAGTTTAGAATATCTGGTCGGCACAGGTGAGTTGGACTAAAGGATCTGTTTTGGGCTGCATGACTCTATAAGTGGAATACAAGTGTCCTGGATATACCATGTGTCCCAGTGAGGAACAGTCACCAGCTGCAGAAGCTTGGCCTCTGAGTTTCAAAAGTTGTGTGACAGCTGCAGTCATCATTGTGCATCCAGGACTCGGAATTACGTAGATAGCATATTTAGGTTAAAAACATACAGGCGAAGAGGGAATAGGTAATTGCCAGGCAAGCTGTGCAGGAGTCCCCTGAGTCAATTTTGCTTGCTAATAAGTTTTCTAGCTTGGATACTGTTGAGAATGCTGGTTCCTCAGGATAGTGCAGCAAAAATAAACTCTCTAGCACCATGAGGGAAAGAAGAAAAGTGGAACAGCAATAATGGTAGTGGATTCTAGAGTCAGGGATTCAGACAAGCATTTTTGTGACAGCAAACATGATTCCAGGATGGTGTGCTGCCTCCTTAGTGCCAGGATCAAGGATTTCACAGAGCAGCTACAGGATTTCCTTCTAGGGATGGTGGACAGCTTCAGGTTGTGGACGACATTGGTTTCAGTGACAAACACAGGAACAGCGAGGAGGTCCAAAAAGCAGATTTTCAGGAATCAGGGGAGAAATTAATAAATAGAGCCTCAAGAGCAGTAATCTCAGGATTACTCACAGTGCTGCATGCTAGTGAGCAAAAAAACGCAAGAGGATTGATTGAACACATGATTGGAGAATTGTTGTAGGAGGGACAGCATAAGATTTCTGAGGCATTAGGATCTGTACCAGGTCACACCAAGATCAGGACTAATATTTTTGCAGGGAGACTTGCTAGTGCTGTTGGGAAGAGATAAAGGAGCCTGTTGGGGAATGGGAACCTCAGGATTTGCTCAAATTAGAAGGAAGTGAAGCTGGTAATGGGAAATTACAAAAAACGCAAGTGAAATTAGGAAGGCAAGCAAAACGAAGATGAGCATCAACTAAGCTTAGAGCGTGAACGATATAAAAAGACAATGTTAAAGACACTCTGCCTGACTGCACACAGCATTTGCAACAAGATGATGATTTAAAGACACAAATACAGCTATATGTTTATGGTCTAATTGCCATTATAGAAACATGACTGCAGCATTACCAAGAATGGGAGCTGAATATTTAAACATATTCAATCGTTGCAAAAAGGAAAAGGAGGTGGTGTTGTACTGATAATAAGGGATGGGATCAGTATCTTAGTAAGGGAGGAATTCAGATCAGAATAATAAAATGTGGCATCTGTATGGATGAAGCTAAGGAACAGCAAGGTGCAAAAAAAATTGGTAATTGTTTAGAATTAATTTTAATCAACTGTTCAAACAGGTTATGACACACCTATGGGACAGGTAGGACTTGCAATCGGATCTTCTGGCACAGAGATAAGGAAATTCTTTAGTACTTGTTTACAGACCACCAAGCAGTAGTAGTAGAGTGAGGCACGGTGTTAAACAGGAGACAAAGAAAAGCATTTAGCATGGGTAATTCAGTTACCAAAGATTAGATAAACTTAATAAGCACAAAGTATTTGGAGAATGGGTTTCTACAGCATGTTATGGACGGTTTTCGACGGTAAAATGTTGAGGAACTGACTAGACAGCAGGCTATTTTTGATCTCTTATTCTGTAACTAAAAATGGATAATGAATAATTTTGTCGTAAAAGAACCTTTAGAGATGAATGACCATAATAGATAGAATTTTACATTACATTTGGAAGTGACGTAGTTCAATCTGAAGCTAGGGTATTACATTTAAAATGAAGGAAATCATAAGTTATGAGGGGAAAATTGGCTGAGATAGATTCGGAAACATTGAAAGGTTTGATGGTACATAAGCAATGCATAGTTTTAAGGAATTATTATTTAGCTCACAGGAATTGAACATTCTTTTGAAGCACAACATCCCCGAAAAATTCAGACAGCAGTGGATTACAAAGGAAGTTTAAAAAGTGTACAAAGCCTACGGTTGCCAGAAAAAGTAGTAGCCTGAGAATTGGGAGGACTTTACAATATAGTAAAGGAAGTCCAAGAAACTAATAAAAGGGAGAATAGAGTATAAAACATAAATTAGCAAATGGAAGGAATGTAAAAACTCTTGTAGGTACATAAAAGGGAAATATGGTTCAGATAAATATTACAGGCAAATTCAAGAGAATTTATGCTGGGGAAAAGAGAATTGTCAGGAAGCCAAATGACTACTTGGTCTACACAAAAACAAAAACAGAAATTGCTAGAAAAAACTCAGCAGGCCTGGCAAGATCTGTGAACAAAAGTCAGAGTTAATGTTTCAGGTCTAGTGACCCTTCTTCAGAATGCACTGACTACTTTGTCAATCTTCACTTAGAATGATACAAGAAATATCCAAGAATTAAAAATCCAAGGGACTAGGGAGAATGAGGAATTAAAGGAAATTAACATTAATAGGAAGGCTGCATCAGAGAAATTATTAGGATTGAAGGTTGGCTGATCCCTGGAACCCAATATTCTATATCCCAGGGTGTTGAAAGGGGTAGCTATGAGACAATGGATGCTTCAGTTACCTCCTTCCAAAATTCTATAGATTGTGGAATGGTTCCTGCAGAAAGGAAGGTAACAAATGTCACTGCGTTATTTTATTACATCACATTCATCATTCATATATATTCTAGTTCAAGCAATCAAATGCTAATGGAAGAACTAAACCCCAAGGGTTTTCAAAATAAACTGATATCGGTTGATAAAATACTTAGAAAGTTTCACTGAAAAATACTCATCTCTTTCTAGCGGCAGATTTAACGGATATCCAAAACGGAGATGAACCAAAACAGAAAAGATTCGGAAGGTTGACTAATGAATGCCTCTGATCTATGGAGTTTTATTTACATGGTGCATTTTTAATAAAGTGAGGAATACTGTATAACATTGTCAATGTGATAACAGTGTGGAGCTGGAGGAACACAGCAGGACAGGCTGCTTCTTCAGAAGAGTCCTGATCCGAAACATCAACTTTCCTGCTCCTCTGATGTTGCCTGGCCTGCTGTATTCCTCCAGCTCCACACGGTGTTATCTCTGACTCCAGCATCTGCAGTTCTTACTATCTCATTGTCAATGTGATCTTTGTTAGCTTTTATTCTAAAAATAAACTTACTACCTTCTCCATTATTACAACTTTGTCCTAGAAGTCAGTGCTATCCGAATGTAAACCCATTGAGGCTTACAACTATTGCAATACCTCGGTGAATAATAGGGGACGGAGAAGAGGGGTTGGCTATGGCGGTCTCAGAGCTCGCAACCCCAAAATTTCAGCTAGTGATTCCACTTCAAGAAGCCCTGTTGTAAGTCCTCCTATGCTCAGTTGGGGAAATAAGGTACAGAAGGCATTCGCAACTACTTTGTGATTTAGAAAATGCTTCTTAGTAAACACAATTCAGTACAGTATCTAAAGCCAGTATCATTCTTCTGAGAGATAGGCATAGCAAAGGACTCTATTATGCCAAGCGTTGAGCAAATATACAGTACGGGTCTTTGGCCCGTTCAATGAGAGTAAGTGGGTGGACCAGATAAGTTTCTAATATTCCTTTTTAGTCAATTGCATGCAAAGAAGAGAAGCAACAAAGTTAGAAAAAGAGTAGTGAAAGGTTGTGAGAATTCTGAAGACAATCAAACCTGAAACCATAGGGAAACAACAGAAGCTGGGAAAGGAAAAAATGAAGGTGACTTAAATAAGGGCAAAAGCTTTTTATACATCGAAAAACGTGACAGTTGAGCTAATTAGTAAGTTTTGTGCTCCATTTTCAAAGAGCTGAACTGTTTTATGATACAAACTTCAGTAAATAAAATGGAGGATGTCAGAAGACATGCTATTGAAATATTTCAGAATTCTTTTCTCTAGATGTGGCTGACAGCAGCAAGGCAGTATTTGTTATGTAGGAACTCGTCACTTAAAGCTCTTCCTGAAAATCCTAACATTCAGTGGAACAGTTTCCCATAGGGATCCATGTTAAAACTGGAGTTAGGTTCTGTAAGGCATTCTTTATCAGGTTAAAAAATTATACTGTTGAAATATTTTACATGGCTAAATTTCCACATTATGAAATAGTTTTCTGTGACCTGATCCTCAAGGTTACTGCAGATCTTTCCCTTGCCTAACCCTCAAACATATAGCACCACCCCTCAACTCAATCCTCTAGAAGTGAGCCTGAAGCACTGTTGCATGAAGTCTGCACCGAAAGTCTTTATTGGCCGTAACACAGCTTGTGCCTGATAGTACATTTCTCTGCAAGCCACCACTGCCTCCAAGATCCCCTCGAACATTACCGAATTGATCCTCTTGGCTGGCTGGTAGTCAGTTATCCCTCAATCAACGTCACACCACTGCTTGTGAGGTTAATTAGTTTTTTTTTGAATATTCATTCAAGAGGTAAAAGCATTGCTGGCAAAGCCAGCATTCATTACACACTCCAACTGTCCTTGAGAATGAGATGACCTATCTTGTTAAGCCACTGCAGTCCATGAGGTGTGGATAAAATACACACAGGTTGGAAGTGAGTTCCAGGATATTTACAACACTGGCATCTACCTGACAATGTGGACAAATCCTAGGTATGCCCTTGTACATAAAAAGCAGGACAAACCTAACCCAGCCAATTATTACCCCATCAGTCTACTCTCAATCAACAGTAAAGCGATGGAAAGTGTCATCAACAGCACTATCAAGCAGCACCTGCTCAGTGACACCCAGTTTGGGTTCCGCCAGGGCCACTAAACCTCATTACAACCTTGGTTCAAACATGGACAAAAGAGCTGAATTCCAGAGGTGAGGACAGAGTGACAGCTCTTGACATCAAGTCTGCATTCGACAGAATGTGGCCTTAAGGAGCCTGAGCAAAACTGGAATCAATGGGTGTCTCTTGGTTGGAGTCATACCTGGTACATAGTAGGATGGTCATGGTTATCAGAGGTCAGTCATCTCAGCTCCAGGACATCTCAGCAGCAGTTCCTCAGGGTAATATTCTCAGTACAACCATCTTCAGCAACTTCATCCATGACCCTCCCTCCATCATCAGGTCAGAATTGGGGATGTTTGCTGATGATTGTGCAATGTTCAGCACCATTCGTGACTCCTCAGATACTGAAGCAGTCCATGTTCACATGCAACAAGATTTGGATAATATGCAGGCTTGGGCTGACAATGGCAAGTAACGTTAGTGCCACACAAATGCCAGGCTATGACTGTCACCAATAAGAGTCAATCTAACTGCCACCCCTTAATAGTCATTCAATGTTGTTACAATCTCTGAATACCTCACTAACAACATCCTGGGGTTACCACTGACCAGAAACTCAACTGGACTCACCCCATAAACACAGTGGCTACAACAGCAGGTCACAGCTAGGAATACTGTGGCATGTAACTCACCTCCTGACTTCCCAAAGCCTGTCCACATCTATAAGACACAAGTCAGGATGAAATACTCCCCACTTGCCTGGATGGATGCAGCCCCAACACACTCAAGAAGCTTGACACCATCCAGGACAAAGTAGCCCAAATAACTAGCACCACATCCATAAAAATCTACTTCCTCCACCATCGATGCTCAATAGCAGCAGTGTATACTATCTACAAGATGCACAGCAGGAATTCAGCAAAAATCCTCTGTAAGCACCTTCCAAACCCATGACCACTTCCATCCAGAGTGACCAAGGCAGGAGATACATACATGGGACACCACCACCTGCAAGTTCCCCTTCAAGCCACTTACTATCCTGACTTGGAAATATATTGCTGTTCATTCACTATCACCAGGTCAAACTCCTAGAATTTTCTCCCTTATGGCACTGTGGATTAACCTACAGTAGATGGACTGCAGTGGTTCAAGGTGGCAGCTCACCACCACCTGCTCATGGACATCTAGGGACAGCCCGCCAGTAATCCCTACATCCCACAAACGAATTAAGGAAAGAATTTACAAAGGCTTCAGCAATAGAACTTGTTTTTTGAATTTATGTAAATCTAATATACAATCAAATTAATGAGAAAAATTGTACAAAAGAGTTGCCTAAGCTTCGAATGTAGAAAAAAGGACATCCAGCAAGAATGCTGATAAAATTCAGCTGAGAAAGAATTTCATTTATTTATCTAAAGTATTTGTTAAACATTCAGTTGAACCATGCCAAGAACGATTCAGAGCTCTGAAATAAACAAGATCAATGACATTCTCGTTACCATTCTCCGAAATAGATATCAAGCACATCTGGCCTGTTCACACTTGCATTTATCAGCCAATGCTTTCAATTTAACTTTACACTTGAAAATTGGCGAGGGTTTATGAGTCATCTTTCAACAGAATCCTGCAAACTGTACATTACTTAAACAGTATTTCACTTGCAGCATAAATTTTATTAACTATGATCTCATTCCAGTTGTCAAGAACTGTAAGGCAATTAAAGTATCCAATACTTGTGCAACTGAAATGACCAGAAACAATTCAACATTTCCTCAAGCTCCATGAAGAGCTCATTAACTTTATCTAGTGATTAAATTATCCACATCTTGAAGGATCAGGATTTGCTCCCAGCTCCATGTGGACGTAGTTGACCTCAGTTAGCCTTTACTGGGAAAATTGAAATGGGCATCAACATTTGGCTGGAAAGAAGAATTAAGTGGGATTGCGGGAGGGGCGAGGGGCGAGGGGGGGGAAGGGGAGGGGCGAGGGGGGG